CACACAAGCGCACACACACACACGCACACACACACACACATGCACACACACAACACGCACAACACACACAACACACAACACACACAACACACGCACAGCACCCACACACAACACACACAACACACAAACAACACACTCACAGTACACAACACACACACACACACACACGCGCACACTTTTGCTTCGGCGCGACTGTGGGATGCAGTCGATGGCTCACGCTGTGCGAAGAAGGGGTGCGCTCCAGGGAAGTGACCCCCCCTTGTGCGGGAGCGAAGCCGCCACCGAAACCGCACGCACGCACGCACGCACGCACACACATACACTTGTTGGCGTTGCGGCCCTGCGCGCGGCGACAGGGCGTAAAAGGTTGGAAAACAGCGAGGCGCGCGCCTCCACGCCCGGCCGAGCACTCAGAGACCATTGAGGGCCTCGCAGCCGTTGGTAGGAATAACCATCTAGGCATGCATTGCGGGGAGGGGGCTGTGAGCAGACAAAACTCTGGAGAGGTAGAGGGCGTCATACGCCAACGTGGACTGGAAGGCAGGGAGAGCGAGTAAGCAGGGTGGTCCGACAAGGAGACACACTTGTGTGGCAGTAGCGGCCTCGCGCGCAGCGACGAAGCGGAGAAAGTAGAAGTACTAAGCGCGCGGACGCAGTCGGGCTCGGAACAATCGCAGAGGATTCGGCGTATTGCCATCAGCAGTTCCAGGCATGGATGGCAGGGAGATGGCACGTTTGGGGGGTGCCCTCCCGAACGCGGCGACATAAGCAGAGGAGGTGCGGCATACAGCGCATCTGGGCGTGGATGGCAGGGAGAAAACACGCCAGCCAGGGACCTGCCTGCCGCGGCAGCATGAAGACGGAAAAGAGATTCACAACATTTGGCGAAAGCCAGCGGAAGGTGACACACACACACACACACGCGCACATGTTTTGGCGTCGCGGCCCCGCGCGCGGCGACGGGGCGTAGAACACACACACACACGCACGCACGCACGCACACACACACACACACACACCACACACGCACACACCACGCACGCACGCACGCACGCACGCACGCACGCACTCACGCACGCACGCACGCACGCACGCACGCACTCACTCGCCGCTGCTAGCGCGGTAGCGGAGCAGAGCAACAACAAAAAAAACGGCAGGGGCGACCCCGCGTTCCTGGGCCCGGTCATCTCGGTGCCGCTCTGCCGGGCCGTCGGCGCGCCCCACGCGGCGCCGACCTCGCCGGCCTCGGAGGGCCCCGCAGACGCCGCGTGGCAGGTGGCGCACGAGCGGGCCAGGCGGCGCCCTCTCTCCTGTCGGTGTCGTTTGAACGATGCTCATCCCCACTGGACCACATCAAACGACGCGAAGATCGGGACAAAATCGGATCGGGATGACTCGAAATCTCTGAGAATCGGCAGGTTTGGAGGATGTATTGGGCGCCGCGGCCGCTCCAGAGCGTTCTGGAACGCTCTGAGAGCGCTCCGGAACGCTCTGGAGCGATTTATCCCGATCCTAGCCCTGTTTTAATCCCCACTGGACCACAGCGTCTCAGCCCCACTCGTGCCCCACTCGGGACCAAGCGTATGTTCACTATACCGCGTTGTGTTTGTCCACTCCTCGGTGGCAGATGGCGGCCCAGGCACAGTGTGTGCATCAGTTTCGGCACCCGTCGCCCAGAGGACTGGCCAGAAGTCATACACCATGATGTCCTGTGACGTTTCTGCGAAGCCCTATGGAACCCAGACCCCCGACGTCGTGATTTGTTCGCAACGTCGACCCCCAGAGGCTTGGACCCCTTCCCCGAGACCAGTTTCTCATCCTGAGTCGTTTTTTGACGCTCCCGGGGCCCGGTAAGGGCCCCCAGAGGCCAAAAATAAGGACAAATTCGCCGTCGTGATTCTTTTACAACGCGAGGGGGTCTGGGAAGCCCCATGGAACAGGACTCAGACACCTTAGTGCACATGTGCGGCGCGATTCCCACCCACCACTCTGCCCCCCAGTTGGGGATCGGCCGCGCGAAACCTGGAGTAAGCCGCACATGCCGCACGTCCCCATCTGGTTGGCCACATCGGGCAGTGGGGCCAAGGCCACGCCAGGCCCAGAGATCCGACGTAGCGGAAGCACTGCAACGTGGTTATAAAAATCGTGACTGGAGCCCCAGACCCCCTTTTGTCTGCCCCAGCTTCTGGGGTGAGGATAGAGATTGTTAAGCCAAGCGATGCTCCGCGGGGCGCGAAAATCCCCCACCGCTGCACGCACAGCTGCTGTGCTCCGCGCGCCCGCTCCCCCGCCATCCTCCTTCCCCGCCTCCCACTTCCTCCTCCCCCTCCTCCTCCTCCTCCTCCTCCTCCTCCTCCTCCACATTGTCATCCTTGTCCTCCTCCTGGTAGGTGTGTAGATGAGGCAAGATGTCGGTGCGAAGCACGGTCTTACACCCCAAACAATAACAAAAAAAACAAAAAGGGCTGACGAGCTCGATGGAACTCCGCCCTGTCCGATT